CGTCTAACTAGTATGCTATACACGTATACGTACACACACACACACACACACACACACACACACACACACACACACACACACACACACACACACACACACACACACACACACACACACACACACACACACACACAAACACACACACACACAAACACACACACACATACTCCTCCTGGCTGTCATATCTATTGTTCAGCAGAGCTTTGACCCCAGAGCTCCTTTGCATCAGAGTATAAATAGACTGTGTGTAGTAAGTCAGTCGATCCCGGCTGGAAGCGGCCTGTGGTTCAGCCCCTGCTCTCTTTCTGGCTCTCTGCCCGGCTCAGCTGTATAACGGAAATAAATAAACGATAAAACGGAATATACAATAAATATTTTTCTGTGAGCTGCAGGGAAAAGCGAGAGAGAGAGACAGAGTTTAGGAGTAAAGGCAGCAGCAACAAGTCTTTTTTTATTGGATGAAATGCTGCAAGAGGAGCCACAATGTTTCATCTTCTCTTCAGTGGTGGGCTTTATAAACATGAGTGCCCCTGGTTTTAACAAAGCCTTTTCCTGCATGGTGGCTCGCGGTCTTCATATTGACTCCTCAAGCTTTCACTGAGGTGGGAGGCTGAACAATGTGCTGCTGCCTGGTCGATATGGCCCCTGCTGCCTACCGGCTCCTCCTGGGACCTGGACGCTCCCTGCTGCCACCACCACCCCCTCTCCACCCACATTACCCCCACACACAGAGCCTCCACCTCCTCCACCAAACCCGGAGACAAGATGCTCTCTAGCGGCTGAGTCGACTTCTAAAAACCACTATCGGTAAATCATTTGCCCCATTTGCACACGGTGAAATATTTAAACAGGCAGCCCTCTCAATCCGCAGCAAATCACAGCAAATGAGTGCTTAACCCAGAGAGCAAGCTGCGGTTTCCGATTGAAATTGACCTTTGCGCGCAGGAAGCACAAGTTCCAGTGAAGTCTGGGACGCCGTTAAACCGACTGGAAAACCATTTGTGCATCTCAAACGTGAGGTGCAACTCACTTTCTAGCCGATTTTTAAATACATGTGAAGTAGGAGATATGAAAATTGTAAAATGCAGTTGTAATACAACAAAAATGTGAGTTTCAAGTTGTATACAGTGTGCCATTTTTACGCTGCCGTTCTAATATTACAGTGGATGAAAAGCCACGCTACTCTACCTAATAATATTAATATAGGGACTTCATGTGCTATCAAACGGCATGTTTAAAGTGGCCCACGTGTGCTTTATGATTAAAATGCAATCTCCGGTGATATCATTAGAATATTCCATGTAGTTTTTCACTCATGTTTCATCATTTTTACCGGTAAAGCCAGCAAAATGTGCATTTCATGGTTGACAATAAAGCAAGACAGAGGAAAGGGGAGCTCTTACCTGCGAGTCCGACATTCCCCATCACCCTGCAAGTATTTATGAGGAGGATAAACAAACAAACGTCCCGGGAAAAACAAGCGCTCCCCATGCTGACAGACGGTGTGAGGATTCAGCAGGGCTTTTCTGGGGGTTTGGACTGTGTGTGTGAATGTGTGAGTGTGAGTGTGTGTGTGAGTGTGTGTCTCTGATACGAGAGGAGGAGGACCGCTTCTGCTGGACGGGCAGCGGCGGGCAGAGAGAGGGGGGAGAGATAGAGGGAACAGCAGGGGAGAGCGGAGGCGATCGGAGCCTCCTGATTGGCTGGTTTGTACCGGTGGAGAGACGGAGAGAGAGAGAGAGAGAGAGCAGAGAGGAGAGAGGAGAGAGAGCAGAGAGGGTGGCATTGTATTGGTCGGTTCTTGAGAGAGAGAGAGAGAGAGAGAGAGAGAGAGAGAGAGAGAGAGAGAGAGAGAGAGAGAGAGAGAGAGAGAGAGAGAGAGAGAGAGGTGAGCAGCGCAGCGTCATGATGTGGATACTCAAAGTTCGTTCTCCAAACCCTTAAACCCAAGCTAAAAACACAAGTTAATACAAAAAAAACAGTTTGAATGAACCCCAATCGACATTTATGGGGGGTTAAATGTATATAAGAAGTTAATTTTAGTGGCCTAGATTTTTGGCTGACTTTTCTATAACTCTGTATTTTTTGTTATAAACTGCAAAATCCTTCAATATAAACTGTTAAAAAGAGAAAGTTAACTACATTCAAAATGTTCATAACTGATTTCGAGCACCTGTCTGTGACTTGGGGTCATAAGCCAAAAAAGTTGGAAACCAAAAGAGGAATTGTGTTTATTTTTACTTCATATATTAATTATCCTGCAAGGATCCTTTTACATATTGTAACTGTTTTACAATATTAAAAAATAATTCCAAAATGATAATTCCCTGTGCGAACTAAGGACCCCTGAAGGTCCAAAAAGCCGTAGTTTGGGAAACACGTAGTCATTAGACTAAAAGGGCAATTTGAGAAGCACAGACTCAGGGAGTAACAGGGTTTATAAAGATTCATATTCAGTCGTTTTTTCTCGTGAAATAATTATTGACGCACTTTTCTGAAACATTACTCGCATGAGGTTTTAAGAATTAAGTAATACTGACACCTAGTGATGGGACATGAACGTGAAGGAGTGCATTACCCATTCAGCGCGATATCTTTATAGGGCTTTGCCCCCATTGAAAGAGTAGGCTACTGCGCACCACCTTATATAATGAAATGAATTAATTAGACAGACACACATCGGACAGAGCAGTTTTACAGGAACACTAGTTGGTGTATAGGTCTTTGCAGAAAATAGGTAGGGGTCATGTGTGTGCACACTCAATGGGGGCCATAGGTCACCAGGTTAATCCATAGGTCACCAAACACTCGTTTATTTTAAGGATTAAAAACAGTCAAAATAAATATGGGGATTCTCATTGTTTTAAGTCTTTTTAAATGAGGTTAAAGTTAAAGGACAACAATATTCCAGGTTGTTGTCATCCTGAAAGAAAGAAGTTCATGGTTTAGGTGTAGCTTAGTTGTGTATAGTGAATGTAGCTGTTTTATTGAGGCCATTATATGCAAACGAAAAATGTATAGTTATAAAAATAAAAATAAAACTTTAAAAAGTAAATTAAAAGACTTGAAAAGTGAATGAGGTCGTTCAATTATTTCAGTAGTTTTCTTTCATATTGAATGTATAGATAGCCTCTAGCTATGTCTAGTAACACTTTTATTGACGCCATTTTTAATTTACACAAACCACAACAAAAACCACACTTAAAGACAAGGCCGAAACCGTCTGGGAACTCACCAAAAGTGTTCTCTTTCCAAATGCAGGTGCAATAACGAGTGTTTTATTCAGACGCTGCCAGTTTCTGTTTATTTTTAAATGAAGACGGCGAGAAAGTAGACAAATACCGCCATCTTCTGGACGAGCTCCTTCAAAACGTGACTCTGACTGAGCCTGTCCCGCCCACTTCAATGATTTCTCATTTCTAACCAATCATAGAGGGAAGACAGAATGATGCATTTAAGAGCAATGCATTTGCTAGCTTCTGTAATTGTATCTCAGTTGGAAGCTTTTTATTCCAATTCCACTCATTGCTTCCTTTTATCTAACTCAGTATAAAGCCACGTATCCAGCAGCACTGTTGCCTGTCATCCTGCTATATATGCATGACCTTGTATACGGGAAACATAAAAATACATGTAAAAAACCACGTGACGAGGTTAGAATGAAAGACAGCTCTTAAGGTTCACGTAGAAAACGAGGAGTGCCTGAACGCAACGCGAGATCTCATCAACTGTCATGGCGTCTCCCTTGAAGGGGGATAGGTAGTGGAGAAAGTAGCCGCTGTCATTTATCAGTTTTCTCCTGTTTACAGAGCAGGTAACCCCGACTGAAGAGGCCTTGAGGAGCGGATATTAACCATGGGGACTGTCCATGCTAAGGTAAACTCCATTATCCCTGGCAGCTGGCCTTTATGTGCCTTTTTTTACCATGACCTCCCTGCCCAGTCAGACTCACTAGCATTTGTACTCGATGTACTGTTCAATACAGCTGGATAAAGACGAACAATAAAGAATAATGACTGGTTACATTACGTGTGCACTGGGGAACTGCATGTGGTGAAAAGCTGTATATTTGACTGAAGCTCATTAATGTTACCAATATAGGCCTGGCGGGATTTTCAAATTTAGATATCATATGTATGACAAACTAACTCGTTGTAACCACGATTTGTGGTAGTATTTTAACGTGGTTTTGTGTTTTCAGACCGTTTTCATACAAGAATATCACTAAAAGCCATTTCATACTGTGTAATTAACACCACAAATAGATTCAATTTACTGTCACAGTCTTTCATTTGAGAAATGTGCTTCTTTAACCTACTTACATTAACACCTTCCAAACTGACTCCCCAATGCAGTGACTTTCACTTGTCGTAGGACATCAGATACTCTCTTTTAAAGGCCCACTCATTGGCCTAATGACTCAATGACAGCAGTCCTTTTTAAAGGTGCCATGCATACCTTCCTTGTTTTAAGTGTATCAGACTTTTAAGATTATTTTAAAAGTCTCACCTGACCTTTAGATACACAAACCAAATTTAAACTCGGAAATATAGTTAGTTTGGCTCAATTTCAAAGAAGGTTTATTAGGGAGATTTTTTTTAATTGTTTTAAATTTGCATTACATTGTTAATGTAGTGTTACTTAAAGGCATTGTGCTTATCATGGTTGCAGAGTCTGGATCCTCTCCCGATGCATGGCCGAGATTTGGGCGTCCACCCTGATGACATGGTCGAGCTTCCAGAACCGGAGCAGGAATCCAAGCAGGAGATCCTCGAAAACAAAGCTGTAAGTAGCAGTAATATCAGACTAGATTTTGTGATAAAAACAAATCTAAATATTTATAAATAGTACCTGTAAAAGAACTCAAGTGAAAAAAATATGGATTTGAATTGCTATCACAGTCTAAGTCCCTGCAGCTACATGCATGTGTCTGCATTTGTATACGATGGTTATGTTGGAGTAATCCAGGTAAAACATACTTTTGCAGGTGGTCGTCCAACATGTTAACGTCCAGGGTCTTGGAAGAACTAAAGAGGATCTGCTCGGCTATGAGATCTCTGAGGTTTTCCACGCAAAAAATCTCATTGATGTACGTATTTATTACTGAGTACATTAAGGAATGATAGCACTCAGTTTCAGTATTGGAGAAGTTGCAGAGCTCTGTTTCTTTTTCGGTTACAGGTGATGAAAAAATCTCACATCGCCAGACAGAAGCTTCTCCGCCTGGGAATCTTCAAAGAGGTGGAGGTTCTTATTGATACATCTGAAGGTAACTCGACCTTGTAATAAAAAACACAGCCACAAAAACAAACATTTTATTGAATAATGGCTGTAACACACCTTCTTCCTCCTGATTGGTTCTCTTCCCCAGGTTCAGACGCCTTGCCCAACGGTCTGGATGTAACTTTTGAAGTGACGGAGGTAAAGAGGCTGACAGGAAGCTACAACACCATGGTTGGCAACAATGAAGGAAGCATGGTGAGAGAAACAACACTTGCATATAATTCATGTCAGTCATATTTGTCACTTTATTGGCTATGGATGGAGCACTATTCAATAAGATAGTAAATTCAAATTCTCGCTCAATTGGCTGCCAAGTGATACAATTGTCAACTTAGGTTATAGGGCCACTGGCCATTTTAATCACTTAAATCAGGATTTATTGCAGTCCGTCTGTTCGATTATTTTAACTATGGCACAAAAAGCCAGAACCTTTTTTAATTTCCTTTCCTTACTACACTTTTATATTCAGAATAAGAAATAATATATGTTATATTGGTTATGTTATAGGTGTCAGGATCAGATCTTGGGCAGGTAAAGCTTATTCCATTAGATTAGGGATTATTCGATGAAGGTAGATTATTAAGGAAACCGTTTTAGTTCTAGTAATAACCGGAAATGTGTTTTTTAATGTTTATAGAAAATAGCCCTTCGTCATGCCACAGCAGAAAAGAGGTTATTGTAACAAGTTAATAAAATTGGATGAAACTGGACACAGGCTGCTTTTACAGTGAAACAGAAATGATCACAGAACATGGTGGCTTCATAGTATTGGTTTGGTCTTTCAGGTGCTGGGTCTGAAGTTACCTAACGTGTTCGGTCGAGCTGAGAAACTCACCTTCCAGTTCTCCTACGGGACCAAGGAGACGTCATACGGCCTGTCCTTCTTCAAGCCCCAGCCCGGAAACTTTGAACGCAAGTATGTCAGTGAATGTTGCAAATAGACTGTTGACTGTGTGTCCTAGAAAGTCTGACTTCATAACGTATAAGCACTTTTTACAGATGGCTGATTCCTAAATCTTGGATTGCCAGTAAATGCACCACCAGGGCTCTGAGTTGTGTTTTAACTTAAGATACTGTGTCCTCTGTTTCAGCCTCATCCTCAACCTGTACAAAGTCACCGGTCAGTTCCCATGGAGCTCCTTAAAAGAAACCGACAGAGGCGCATCTGCAGAGTTTAATGTAAGAGGCCGTGTGTGTTTCTGAATGGAAAAAGAGACGATTCAAATGATTAACCAATATCAATACAGATACATTTCCTCATGTTTATGTACAAAAATAAATTCATTCGAGATTCATTTCACCCACGTTTTAAACTGCTTAGTTTGTACCATAATAACCTTTATTTTTTATTTGTGGACTTTTTTATTTTTAAATGCATTGGCATAGGTATAGAATCCAGAGAGAAAGAGTCGAACATGTGACTCTGGACATGCATGCCCTGCATTTGTGCACAGCAGTGTGTAAATCCAATCTGAACACTTGAATTTGCCAGCATTTAATACTGTTGAACCATGCAGGATTGACACATTATCTGCTAGGAAAAGTGTAACTGATGAGTTAACTCAAACGTCTTCAGCTCACGTTCTCCCCTTTCCTTTCCTCCTGCAGTTCCCCCTCGGGATGACCAACCACACGTTGAAGTGGGAGGGTGTGTGGAGGGAGCTGGGCTGCCTGGCGCGCAGTGCGTCCTTCGCCGTGCGGGAGGAGAGCGGACACTCGCTGAAATCTGCCCTCTCGGTACAACCTGGAGCCTGGACTCCTCCTTGTGTCATATCATTTTAAATACATGTTTATTAGTGCTATAAATATAATTTCTTCCACCCCACCAGTTCAACACATCTCCTGTTTTGTTTGTTTGCAGCACACTGTGTCGATCGATTCAAGGAATTCTGCTATCTTCCCCAGCAGGGGTGCATTACTCCGGATCAACCAGGTTAGTGTGCACATGTGTCTAAGAATAAGGGACCTTGAAAATACACTGTGAAATCACTGTTAAAGTTCATTCACTGGGTCCCTGATAATGATTAGAAACATTTCATGTATTTGTCCTGCAGGAACTGGCTGGGTACACAGGTGGAGACGCCAGCTTCTTGAAAGAGGATTTTGAGCTGCAGCTCAACAAACGACTTTTCTGGGACTCGGTAAGACAGAAATAAGACACGCCAGACTGGTTTAACAATATTTGTCTTTTAAAAGCTGCAAACACCTTGGATTGTTCTTTCTTTCTGTGTGCTTTTATTTGATGAATTGCATTAACGAACCACCAGTGGGCGATAAAGCCGCACTAGGGGAGTGGAACAACAAACGTTGTTCTGCTTAACTGAATACTTCTAAGGTTTTGTGTTATTAACAGAAACGTTTTTGTCCTCTCAGGTCTTGTCTGCTTCTCTGTGGGGCGGGATGCTTTGTCCCATCGGAGGACAGCCGTCCTGTATCGCTGACAGGTACGTCTGATCCAAGAGCTGCCATCTGGCTCTGACACATCTGAGCTTCATTTACTACTCCCAATGAGAACACACTCTTTTGATAAAGATGATGCTCTCAAGATGATCATATCTGTTTAAAAATCTAAACATGACTATAAGCTTGGGCTACTTGTGAATTGACCCATTTTTTTGTGTTTTGTTTTTTTGTCTTAAACGTTGTACTATTAATGACATTCTGGGTATATGGTTTAATGAAAGAATTAATTTTTTTCAGGTTCTACCTTGGAGGTCCCACCAGTGTACGAGGGTTTGGGATGTATAGCATTGGGCCACAGAGTGAAGGTACAAAAACATTCTAGTTAAATTAAAGAGTTTTTTTCTTTTTTAAATCTGCTGTACCTTAATCAATCATCTTTGACAAAGCTAATGGGACAGTCAACATGGGGCTTACTGTCCAAAACTATAAGACAAAGACAAACTTCTTAGTTAACAAAAAATATAGTTTTACCAACCATTAAATATTGTTGGGACTTAGTGGTAAAGACAATAAGACTACAACACCCTATGATTGATTACAGCTGGAAACCGCTGTTCCACGTCATGTTTCATGTCTAATTCTACACTGTCACCATCCAGACACAATACCCCTCCTTAAAGAGAAGTACTTAAAATAATGAATAAAGTCCTGCGGCTGTAAGCATGTGTGTATGTTTAAGTAAGTAAGTACACTACATATCTTGGTTTAATGCCCTCTCTTTGTGCTCCAGGTGACTATCTAGGTGGAGAGGCGTACTGGGCAGGTGGTCTGCACCTCTACACTCCTCTGCCCTTCAGACCGGGCAAGGGGGGCTTCGGTGACCTTTTCAGAACGCACTTCTTCCTCAATGCAGGAAACCTCTGCAACCTCAACTACGGTGGGTGACTAAAGAAATTAGTAAATGCATAAATACAGCACCTGCAGTGTTCGAAGAAGTAACAAGTGAACACATAGAAATGAACAATCCATAAATCCCCACTCCAGAATTTGTTAAAGTGCATTTAAGCCACATTTGAATATTCTCAAGCATCTTTTCAGTATGTTTCTGGAATGTGAATCACTTTTGAGTGACAGTGGGATATCCCAGGTGGGCGTTGACATGTCGGGTGTTATGTGTGCAGGTGAGGGTCCCCGGGCTCACCTTCAGAAGATGGCAGAGTGTCTTCGCTGGTCGTACGGAGCAGGCATCGTGTTGCGGCTCGGTAACATCGCCAGGCTGGAGCTCAACTATTGTGTGCCCATGGGAGTTCAGAGTGGAGACAGGTACACTATTCACTAACACTCCCAGATATTACACGGGTATTTCTGGAGAGATGTAGTTCCAGAGACGGCTACAATATTTCTTTCTTCCATTTCTGATTCAACAATGTCTAGATGTCAGTGTTGTCAGGGAAATCCAAACACTGACTGGCTTTCACACAACGGCATCATGTAAATAGTGCGCTCAATTTGGACAATTTTGGCCCGGACATTTAGTTTTTTTGCTACAAATGTAAAAAGTGTAAAAGAAACCTTGTTCTCTCCGCCTCTATACTGAAACTAGAGGCTACATTAGCCTGCTACAAGCATAACACACACAACTAACTCTCCTTACCAACTTGTTAGTTTTAATGATGAGTGAAAAAAACAGCAACGCTATCTCTGGTTCTGCATCTTTATCTCTTATTCAAAATGCTGATTAAGGAAATAAAGAATTGTCTTAAGGTGACACTCATTCCTTACTTGTTGTTTCTCTTTCTTCTCTCCTCTCTTAGGATATGTGATGGTGTACAGTTTGGAGCAGGAATCCGCTTCCTGTGACCTCATCACTCCTCCAGCACAGGCTGTGACGTGAAAAGGGAGAACGTCTTGTTTATCACCTGTAAACGTGTTGTAGAGTGTGTATACTAGCATGGGTCCTTTTTCCTGGGGAATTGTGCCTGACCCCCCAAACCCTCCTTTGATACACGAGCAAGGCTTTGGAACAACAAAGTGCCAGTGCCATAACACTAGTGAGGCTTTTTACAGTGAAAAGGGAAAGTAATCAAGAAGTAATCAAGATGTACATAAGACATGACTATAGGGGGAAAGAAATACAATCATGGTCAATCTTTTACAACCTTCATCATCATGTCAGGACTTATTCTCTCTTCAATAATAGCTGACTTAGGGTTTTGTTTTGAGTTTTAGCCTCTTTCCTTGGTTTGAGTTCTTAAGCACTGGCACCTTGTCTGTGGAAAAGTCATCAACCAGTGATTTCCCCCACCTCGTTTCCTGTGGTGACACAAAGTAAATTATTTTACAGAATGTTAAAAGAGATTTTGGGCATGTTCCCTTTTTTGCCTTCCGGGACTGCTTCTTATTCGGGAGCAGGACTTTATAATGATTTTGTTTTGACAGTTTACTGTACGCCACACACACACTTCTGACCTGACTGGTTTTGTTGAGATGCACTGTGTGATTGAAAGATTGCAGTGGAAGCAATGGAATGAACCGGGAGCAAATGGCTCTTTTGATTTAGAGTGGCGCTGTTAGAAGGGAATCGGCCGTCTGCTAAAGTAGTTTGTTCACACATTGTTGAAGAACAGCGGGATGACCTCCCAAGGTGGGAAACCCCCCCTCGTCCCCCAAGCAACATCCACCACCAGTGCTCTTACCGTTGGTCCTCTTTTTAATGTTGTTGAAGATATTCACAATAAATCACAGCTGCTCCCCGAGTTTCTCTATGAATCCTTTATGTGTTCTCAATCAAACATTGTAAAATCAAGTATGGAATCGATCAAATGCAGTAATCAGTTCTGGACCTTCTGCGCTGGGCTTAATTTAAATTATGTTTAGTTCTTGTTGCCTCTAACCCTCAATCTACCAAAAATATTAACCCTACTAAGGACTAAAGAAATGTACTGTAAGAAGAATCCATCATAGCAAAATGTTCATTTATTTCTTCTGACAACTTATTTTATATTTTCTATGTTATTAAAGTAATGTATTAATAAAGTTAATACATTTTAAGAAAGGTGCAGCTAATTTGCATATAAACATAGCTATCTATCCTATATTATCTATTCAAAAAGAAAAAGCTGTCATTGGTTGCTTTTGGCTGATGTCACAAAACACTGGTTTTATAAAAAAAATCTAATTAGACACCAGAAAAACATAGGAAGTAATTTAGAACAAATGAATTCACGAAGTCCTAAAACTGCCTGATGTTTGACAAAAACCATACATATGTTGGTTCAATAAGGGATAGTGAATTATTTTTCTTATCGAGGCTGCATTTGTTTTAGGACTGAAGGTACAGTAGGCTATATGACATATTGTGATTCATCCCTTGCCTCTGTTCTAAAACAAAATACATTTGTAGCAGTCAGTGGCATCAGCAAAGCAGTGTTGTAATAATCGTGCAAGCATAATAATTTAAGTCATCGTTATTTGTACTACCTTATCGGATAAAGGGATTTCCTATTGGAAGAATAAGAAGTTGTCAGCTCCGCAGGGCACAGTCTACCTTGAAGGTATTTTCTTTCCAGCTGACGTGAAAAAGGGGGTATGTGTCTCTGCCCTGCTCCCCTACAGGTCGTCAGTGGACTCTTCGACCCTCTCCTCCACAGGAACCTGTGCAGGGCAGTTGAGTGTGGATGGTGCCAGCTGTGTGTTTGTCTGTGTGGGAGTCTGGACAGGTGCAGAGCAGGTGAACGCTGCCAAGGCAAGTACAGAGAAACTTATGGAAGCCTGTTTGAACCACTGTGATGAAAACACATCCTGCTTGTTGTTATGAGAAGATATCTAAAAAATATTGAGAACCTTTTTTTTTTAGCTTGGTATCTAAACATTTTTACAACGTATCTCAAAAATAATGACATGTTCTCAATTTTTTGGTTTAGTATCTTAACATTTGACATGTTCTTATATTTTCATTAATCGCAGGAAAAATATTTCAAATATATATAAAAAAACACCTGGCTAATGTCTGCTTAAAGACTCTTCTGTTTGTATTCGTTTTATACGAGTATAACATTTTTTTAAGTTAATATCTCATATTTAAAATCTCTCAAGAAATATGTGTTTTAATCACGTCTTTTTGAATGATTAAAGCAATGTAGCAAACAATTTAAACATATAACCAATGATTGACTTAATTTGTTTGCATTTCTGCAGTAATCATTTATAAACTCGTGAAAATACAGTCAGTTTTAAGACGTTATGCATTCCCACACATGACCGCGCATTGGAGGTGATAGCATGGGTGAAGCGTTGGCAAACATCACATACATAAGCACCGCGTGAGCGCGCACGTACGGTGCACGTACTCAGGCTGCTGCTGTCGAGTATAAGCTGGCTGTGGCGTGCCCTGACAACGGCCACTCCTCTGACCACACACTCACACACACATATAGAGGAAGGTGTGTGTGTGGCCAGCAGCAGATTCTGCAGCATTTGGATTTTATTTTTAATATTTTATATAATACACTAAACACCGCCATTATGTTGTGGACAGCGAGTCAAGTCTTAAGGAAATTCTCCACCTCGTCCGTGAGTAACGCTTCTTATTCTGCACCAAAGAATGAATGGTGCCTGTTATACTTGCATTGATAAAAACATACCGGTGAATACTGAACGCATGTCAGGTCGTAGTGTAGAGGACTGAGCCAGGCTCGACTCTGATTACGGTTCATTGAGTCACAGTTGTAACGTTGTAAATAGTCACTCCATTAGCTACCATATTTAAAAAAAAACAGAGTCATGGATGGTGTATCAGTGCCACGTTACTGTGCGATCCACTCTCTCACTGCTACTGTACAAGATATGGAGGAGTTGCATCAGCATAGCTCCACTGTACCGACAGCGGCTTAGATACGATCATGCTGGGCTGCAAACAGCTACCCATTCATTGTGATTACTTTGAGGTTGTAGCACTGTCATTTCCACAGTGTGCTGGTTGGAATATATGGCTTTGAATGCATCATAAATCCAATGCCAGCTTCGAGTACTTGACAGGACCATTAATCTGAGCATGGGAAACCTGAAACCTCCTTCTCTCACACATGTGCTGTCACAGTCAGATTGGAGGGGGCCACTTGAATTTCTCTCAGTCTAGATTAGGGCTGTGCACTGTGTGTCAACCAATAGCTTTTCTCAGAGTTGGTTTTGAGAAATTTGACAGATTGAATGACATTTGGGCCAGGGGTGGAATCGTAATTTGAAGGGTCGTGGGACAGGCAGTTCACGCTTTTAAAATGCACTCATATATGTTTTATATAAGGCTGACAATTCATTGAATTTCTTGCTAATAAGGTGAAAAATGTATTACCATTTTTAAAACGAGTTAATTGCTTATTTAAAGTGCAAACAAAAACAAACCTTTAACTACAGTTTTTCATGTGTTTCAATCTTTGTAAATTGCAAACAAAGTTAATAACTTTGGGGTGGTACTGTGTCGGATACAACCATTAAGCTGAAGTTTATAGACCAAACAATGAGTTGATTAATAAAAATATGTTTACATATAAATTACAAATTAAATGATACTTGTGTAGCACCAGTAAGTAAGTAAGTCTTTGTAGCCAGTAATGAAGTTGTTTGCAGTAACTTAGTGTTGGTTCTTTTGATGAATAACTGAAGGTTTGGCATTGCTCAACTTTAGTTCATGTATTAAAGGTGCATTCAGTGGATTTATATGTCAAGGGGATCAATGAATAATTACAGTTGCATAACATTTTTAGAGTAGAGTTCAAGAAAATGTGTTGTTAATCCTGTTCTCCAGAGCAAAAAATGTTTGTACACACAAAGTTATTAAAGCGCTGTGGCTTGAATGAGACAACTAATGCAGATTAACACTGGGTGAAGCTGAAACTAATGTTTTTGTGTTCTCTCTACCTTCAGAATTACTACCAGAATAAGCTGAAACTAGCTATAATCGGCCAGAGCTTGTTCGGCCAGGAGGTGTACAGCAACCTGAGGAAGCAGGGGCACAAGGTGGTGGGTGTGTTCACGGTCCCCGACAAGGATGGCAAGGCAGACCCGCTGGGTGAGTTTTCTCCCATGTGTTGTTTCTGTCTATCGGTCGCCTCAAAGCCAACAGTCTCTTGGAAAACCGGTTAGAGTGACAGCTGTGTGCAGTCTAGAATGGCACACAGCCATTTCTTGTTAGATAAGTTTATTATGATTAGGATCTTTAAATTCCTTTTTAAACAATATGTGTCATTGTTTTTCAACCAGACAAATTTATTTGCTTATTGGCAAAGTTATAGCTGAATAGTAAATAGTCAATATAACAAATAAAGACCTATTTAACACAAGAATTACCAACGTACATTTGTCCTTGTGTATAAATAGCTCCTGGTTCCATTTTAATTAGACATTGAGAGATAACAAATACATGGAAAGGAATCAATGCTTTGAGTTTGCATTAGAAATAATTGGAAAGAAAATGTTGGATGTGCCGGCCTGTGATGATCCTCCGTCCTGGGTGTGCGGTGGGTCATCGCAGGCCTGTGCTGTGGCTGAGGTAGATGCGTGTTGGCTCCACAGTGCCCCTGCACAAAGACGGGCCTTTACCCTGCATTAGCTGCGCTATAGTGGCTCCATTGTCTGTGTGGGGAGAGGCCCTGTGTGGCCCGGAGATGCAGCTCTGAGGTGAAAAGTCTACAATCGAGCCGCACTCTTTGATATGATGCAATCTTTCCAGGAAAAATCCTCAGCAGCAGCTATCCTCCGCTGCCTCTTGACCATCCTACTTTACTCTGAGGGTTTAAAGTCAATATTGAACTATTTCCTTTCTTATTCACTGTACCTTTAAGCTGTCCTGCCTACTAAACAACAAGTGGAGGGAGGTCAATACTGAAAAAGTACTTAGAGACACAAAATGCATATTAAGCGTTTGTCTGTGTTATACAAGCAGTAAGTTTGTATTGGTTGATTCTTTAGGATATGAACAATCTACTATAGTGTCTATTCATGCAATGAAAAATAAAAATACAGATAAGAATAATAAAAAAATGTTGATATTGATAAGATATTCATTTAGGAATGTTCTGTTAAAAATATTATATATTTCTTATGGTATATCAAAACAGATATACCTTCCCACAATATTTTGAAACGTTAAGACAATATCTTATAGTGTTTGATAATATCAATTCAGACTGTCAAATCTCATATCTTAAATCCTGCAAAGTTTCCAAAAAGGTCCTAACTTGTGAAATGCATTGCAAGTTTGATCAATTATATAGATATTATAAATAAACTGAAGTGTGGTTTCTAAAGAAGCTAGGAAATCAATTTAAACACTATTGCTTTTAGGGTTAGGGCTCCAACCATGAACTCCAAATTTCCCGTTGCAATTTATTTCAGGTTTCTGAACTATACTTATAAATTCTCCTTTAATCTTTCAGCGGTGGCGGCAGAGAAGGACGGGACGCCGGTGTTCAAGTTCCCACGGTGGCGAGTCAAGGGGAAGCCCATCCCAGAGGTGGTGGAAGCGTACAAGGCTGTGGGCGCCGAGCTCAACGTCATGCCCTTCTGCTCCCAGTTCATCCCCATGAACGTAATCGATGACCCCAAGCACGGCTCCATCATCTACCACCCCTCCATCCTGCCCCTGCATAGAGGAGCATCGGCCATCAACTGGTGAGGAAGAGGGGAGGGGAAAGGGGTGAGGGAAGAGTGGGCGATAATATCCTAAAATAATATATCTTTGATATCACACATCGAGCAG